ATAATCATAGACATGCTTATATGTCGACAATATTTATTTTAAAAAGTACAAATCTAATGATAACATATTCTCGACTTATTAACAGTAAAAATTTGTCAAAATTCAATTGTAGAACATTTAATTTAGAACTGCATCGCTTTAATTTCATGAATGATGTAATTTGATGAATATAATTACAGATTGTTACATAAAAAATATTGATCGTCCTCTAAGTAAAATAGTATTGAGATTTTCAAAATCTGCCTTCATTAGCTATTTTTAAAATGTAAATTAAACATCAATAATATAATTAGGATGTACAACAAGCAAAGGATCATCTTCATCTTCTTCACCCTTATCTTTTCGTCCAAGTCCAGTTGTATGCAGAGGTATTATAATTTGATCCTACACAACAAAAGATTTAAACAATTTAAATTCAATACGATTTAAATTACTTTTAATAAAATCTTTAATACATACATGATATGTTAGTCTATCAATAATTTTTTCAATGAAGTTCTTCCTTTCTAATAATTCTTCTTCTGAATCTATCTGATCTTGTATTTGATCAAGGTACCAAGCTACTAATTCTGTTTTTCTTAATCCACCTTTGTTTTCGTCTATAAAAAAAGGGTACTGTTTAATTCAAAAGATTAAAGAAAAGTCGACAACTGATAATTGTTGAAAGCTTAGAATAATATACCTGTAGGAAATGTTTCAGCTCGAGTTTCTTCGTTTCTCATGTACAATATTAACATGTTGGATAAGCTCTTATACTCTTCGAAAGACATTGTTAACTTTTTCTTCTGTACTTCTTGTGTTTCTAAATGTAATATATATAAAATTTAAAAAAGCAACTTTACTGATATATAAAGGAGTTTTTGCTGTCTTGTTATTGCATTAATAATAATCGCGGTAGAGAAAATATTAAACTTAAGTAAAATATAAATAACTTGAAATAAATTACGTTGTGTATCAATTGCGTTATCATCAGTATTATCTATTGCATTTAGAGCAGCCATAAGTGGTGGAGCATCATCCATATTGACATCCAGATTTCCATCTTCAGCTTCTTCTAAATCTATGTCTGGTTGTTCAACAGTAACAATACTTTTGCTTAGCAAACGTTTCGCTTCTCTAACGTGTCTTACAGTAACTTCATCTGAGCATTCTAATTTAGCCATAGCTTCTGATAATCTGATAAGGCTCTCTAACTGTCGGACAGTAACTTTCCATTTTCCAGAACCACTACCAGTTTTTTGTCTAAGTGTTGTGTAACTATCAATTAAGAAGTCTGCAGCTTCCTATAAAATTTGAACTAATTAATACAAATTCTGTAATAAATAATGAGTTTATATTTAAAAATATATATAAATACCTGGTTTAATATAGGTTTGAAGTGTTTAGCAAAATTAATATATCTCACAATCTCTGATTGCGAGTATACAGTCTCAAAATCTTGCCAATTATCACAATGCAAATCTATTATTCTTTTTGCTATCGCGTTATCTACAACTTCATTGCATTCATCAACTATTATAAAGAATAAATCAAATCTAGACATGATAGGGGCTGTTAATTGAACATTTTGTTGTAAAGATTTTTTTCTATCATACCGCCCACCAACGGGATTAGCCGCTGCTAATATTGATGTTCGAGCATTTAGAGTGGCTCTCACACCAGCCTGAAAATATATGTCTGTAATAACAATATTTGACACAAAAATGAAGTAAGATTTAGTATATGATTCAAACCTTGGCTATCGAAATTGTTTGTTGTTCCATAGCTTCGTGTATAGCTACCTGATCCTTAGGATCCATTTTATCAAATTCATCTATACAACAAATACCTTGATCTGCAAGCATCAAAGCACCTGCTTCTATAACAAAATCTGGAGATTCTTCGTCTCTTACTACAGCAGCAGTTAAACCAGCTGCTGTAGACGCTTTTCCCGAAGTGTAAATTGCTCTAGGAGTAATTTCTGCAACACTCTTCAAGAATTGAGATTTTGCTGTACTAGGGTCGCCAACAATACAACAATTTACATCTCCTCGCAATGAAGTGCCTTCTAATGTTGTTTTGGCAACTCCACCAAAAAGCATTAGAGTAATCCCCTTTTTAACTTCATCGTTACCGTGTATCGAAGAAAATAAACTATTAACGAGATTCTGATAAAGATTTTTATCGCGACTCATTTCATATATACGATTCCATTCCGCTTCGGTCATTCGTTTCTTCATCATTTCTTGCGATATTTCTTCCATGTTTGTCTCCGTTCCGCCAAACTATGTAATAATATCATATATGAAAAAGTGTTTACAGAAATCTCTTATCATATACTTATAAAAGCCTTATTCTGTACCCTGAAACTTGTAGGTGTAACGCTGCAGGCCAGAAACGCAGTTTTATATGTCAATTCTCTAGTTCCCAGTGCTTTCAAGCCTGTTACACCTTCTCCCTGTTCAGCAGGCTTTTGGCGTCTCGAACTACTATCTGCTTTTATACCTGGTAGGGAAAGAACTCCCACATCTGGCACAACTATCATAGTGCCTGTAAAGTCATACCTAGAAAAATATAAAAAAAAGATGATTTAAGCTCTGGACAAATTTTAAATGATACAATTATTTTTAATCAAATACCTATCTCCTGCTTGTATTGTTTCTACTGCTTCTGATCTTAGAATTATTTCAAGTGAGCGTGGAATGCAACCCTTAGGTAATTCTGCTTGGGTTTCCTGTACTCTGATCTTTTGAAAATCTACAAATATTGAATTGTCCACATCTAGCATAAAACGTCGCCTGTTACTGCAAACTGGATTGTGGCAAATCGTTGGATTTGTAAACTGTAAAATGTTATTCATATTATAATAATATAACAATAAGAATATTTACATAGAAGTGATGGTACTATACCTTGAACTGTTGTTCTACATTTTTGATAACTGCATTGCAATCCATGCAAATAAATGTACCAAGTACTAATTCTGGATGGACAGGATGTGTTCGTATTACTTGTCCAGATATACGTATCAATGTTCCTAATTTTGATGCATTTAATTCCCTTAATTTTTGTCTGGTTGGTACTTCTACAAAACTTACATAACATTCTTTCTCTTTTCTTAATTCTGTTACATCTTTGACAAAATTATATACTGCTTGACATAGATATGGATAAACCCTGTAAAAATTATATATTATAACTTTCAATATGAATAAGTCTACTAACTAAAAATAAAAATGTAATTAGATTATATTATTAGATTGTATAATAAATGATATATTAATAAATTAAAGATTATAATAGTTCCTTACCTGTAATACTCTTCCACTATAGTTGTTGAAAGTACTTGATTGTATTCATCTACATCATCAAAAGTCACTTCTAACGTACAATGTTCTGGACTTACAAGCTCTTTTGCTGGTTCAAGATATTTTACAATTCCATCTTCTTTAAATCTGATTAAAACAATGTATTATAGATTATAAATAGATTGTACAATAACTTTTTGTGAAATATAGTACAAACGTTTTTATATAGTAGTATGTGTGTTTTAATATAACTTCAAATCTTACTCTTCAAGGAAATCTTGAAATAACTTTTGACATTTAATTCCAACTTCGTCAGGTACACGTATACGAGCAGTATTTGCATCACCAGCATCCATTCTTTAATTATTGATAGAATCAATTTGTCTGCACAAAATTTCACTTCATTCACTATTGGCTTTCATACAAACAGACGGGAAGAATTTGGCGGGAATTCTGTCGTATTCTCATGTTGATATGTGATGTGCGTATGTTGATATGCGTACTGTACATTATTTTTATGTACGCACTTTATTCTGTTGTATGCACACATTTATGTATGTATATAAGCATATATATTATATAAACTTACAAAATTTGATTTTTATATCATTTTTTAATTATCAATGACTAAAAATTTCATTAGACCAATCAGGAAGAGTGTAGACAATATTATACGAAAAACAGGTAGAGTTCACTAGTGACCAGACCTCCCAGCAATGGGATTGGACGATTCCAATGGATTCCCATGGGTGGGTAATTCTCCCACTCTTACTTTCCTGGAAGAAAGTCGTAAAGCAATCAGGATGCTGGGAAGTCTGCTCCAGACCAGAAGAATCTATACATACACAATAAATAAAATAAATGCATGTTAAAAAAACATATATATTTGCACATATTTTATTGGCTGACAATACATATGTAAAGTACTTGGTATTACAGACAAGCCATTGTACATCCGTAAAAGAATTTGACTTATAAATTAACTATTAATTAATTGTAAAAAAAAAGTAATTGTATTCAGATATATTCATATTTTATTCACTTGATAGTCAGTCTCGTGTATTATAAATTACCAAAATCCTATACATCAAACTTTTATTAAAACAAATATACATATGTTTTATGATTTAACAAATTATATTCAATACATTATTCAGAATTTCATTGTTGCAGAAAAATGGATGCTATTTAAATGGTAATAATTTATACCTAATAAGCGTTTAAGTTTAGAATTTTTAATTATTCCGTGAAATAATAGGATAATTTTTTTTATGTACAAAATTGTCATTTGTAATTCTTCTATTAAAAGAAGAGTCCTTGATAAGAAAGACCATCAGCTTCTGGAGATTCCATCCTGTTTCTTAAATGTTCTAATGTGTTGGCCAAATGTTTTTGGATTTGTTCTGTTTCTTCACTGACTTCTAAGTTTGGGAGTTCTTCTCTGATTTTTGCAATTACTTGATTTAAAATTTGGACGGTTACCTATAAATAGTGACCATTTAATACGTTATACCTATAAATTGTTATATCTATTAGAAATGGAACAACTCTTACGATTGTGTTTCCTTTTTCGTAGAAGTAAATATAATGATTCAGTAATTCAACATAAAGCTGCACTTGAACCGATGTATCCATACATTGACTCGCTATTCTAATACCTTTTTTTAAGCAATCTAGCACTTTATTTCCATCTTGCATCTGGAAATAATTGTAAATAAATTATGTCTATTATTATTGGGATTGAAAAAATTATTAATACTTACTTCTTTCCCTCCTGTTGCCAATGATTTTCCAGACCAAAATATATGAGAACATGTGGCAACACCTCTGCATTGATCTGGTTTCCTTAATAACTTACTCGCATATAAAGCGCATTGATTGCGTACTGGTTCTGCATTTTCTTCACTGAAACAACTCATCTGCTCGAAAGTTGCAATGATCAATGTAATTGCTGCCAGTTGAGCTTTAGAATCACTTATTTCATCTTCGTATATAGAAAATGCTTGACTCATGAATTCATAAGCAACCATTTCGAAATTATCAAAACGAATTTCTCCTATCGCTATTGCACCTTGAAGAAACAGCCTTAATGGCAATTCAGCTAATTCTGCTTTCATTAATGCAGTAATAGTTGTATGACAAAACTGAAATATTTTTTGACATTTCTTTTGCCACATTTCATCCTAGAAAGGTGAATAAAAGATTGAAAGATTAGAATGAAAGATTGAAAACAAATACTGTATACATTAATAATATACAAACTTGATCCTTCAATGCTTTATAAGTGAAAGCTAATTGATAAGCCTGGAAAACAATTGGTGGTAAAGTATACTTTATTCTCTTATTTCCACCAACACTGAAATGTTTCCTAGCAGCACTCAATATCATGTACTGTTGATCGGCTGTCTCAGACTTAAAATGATGTATTAATCTACCAAGTAGACCTTGTTCTTCTGCAAAATCTTCTGGATCTTCCTCTATATTAGGCTGATCCGGTTGATCTTGTACCAGTGGGGATACCATAGAAAGCACTGCATCTACTTGTTCTTGGGTCGGTATCAATGTCTCATTTTCCAAAATATTTGTTATTATATAAATACCTAACAATTTTCTACCCTCATAGTCGAAATACTCTAATAATGGTGCGAAATGTTCAAGTTTCAAAACTGTTAGTATATTCTTATAGTTATCTATTGGAATCTTCATTAATCTTACTAGTTCCCTTGAGACTGCACTGTTATACTCGAGTCTAAAAGTAATTCAGGTTTATGAAAAGTTTCATGAATAATAAGCGTAAAAAATTGATCATATTACATTCTTGTACATACTTATCTACATTTTGTTTCTGGAATATTTGAACAGTTGTTAACAACACCTTATCCACATAATCTACTCTGTCAGGATAACACTTGTGTGCCAAATTGATGAGAGCTACTTGTAGAGAAACCACATCTTCTGGAGGCATATCTTGTCTAGTCTAGAAGTAGTTAATTTTATTAACAAGAAGTAACAAGAGAGTTAATAATGATTGGAAAACGGATTATTCAGACTTAAACTAGATAAGTAAGGATAATTTATATCTTGATAATTTTAATCACATTTATATCAACCATGTGTAGTATCAGATCATCATGTATTGCACAATAGAAACATTTAATAGTTCCAATGTTTTTCAGTACCAACCTGTATGATAGTTGCAATTTGATCGCTAAAAACATCAAAGAGCTTTACATCTTGTGGTATACCTGGTGCTTGATTAGGACTTCCTGGTCCTCCCACGCCATCTGATCTTTGACTAAATACTGCAAGACGGTCTATCAAAGAAATTATTATATTTTTTACATTTACACCATTTTGCAGTTCAGCACAGGACTTTAAAAATGCATTTAACGTTTGTAAGTGAAACTCGTCAGGAAAAACCTAAACAACAATGCAAACAAATTATTTATGGCAATATAATTATATAATAATCTTGTATGTTTTCCAACTTAGTTACTTGTATTATGCATTCCATAAGATATTCTTGAGCAATTGCATCCCTGCAACTCACTACTTGCTCCAATATTCCTGGTAAAACAAGCTAAAAATTGTATTATTATTATTCAGTCATTTTAAGATCTTCAAAGAATAATAACAAGTTAAAAAACTACCTTTTTATATTTATCTAGAGTTACTGATTCCAACTGGCTGAGCCGTACAAGATTAGTTCCAACTAAAATTCGAAGTTCCTCCCTTTCTCTCTCTCTTCTCTCTCTATCTCTACTATGACCTTGGTGTTGCATGCGCACCCATAATTTATTCATTTCTGCGAAGTTCATTAAGACAAAATCTATACTGTCACGAACCTAAAGGAAAACAATAAATATAATTTATACATTTAACATTTTGTTCTTTTTGATACATACACTTCCATCCTCATCATCTCCTTCAGCAACATCTGGTAAAATATTACGAGTACATTGTAACAGGTAATTCCTTAAAAAAAGTCCCCTTAAAGGATGTTGAACACCCCTACACATTTCTACCAAATCTCTTAATAAATCTCTTTTTAAACCTGGTGTTGTTTTGATATATACTAATCCAACTGTGATAAGCAAATACCTAGAATATTGAGTACAGTATCAGTAAAGATGTGTCACAAATGATTTATTTCTTTTTTATTATCATAATTTATACATCAGACTTACAGCCTAGGCACAATGTTGCCAACATATTGTACCAATTCATACAAATTTGTGACTTTTCTTCCTTTTTGAAATTCATCTAACAAGTAAAGTTCTAAATGTCTTAACTCATCTGTAATAGTCATATCTATGATCAAACGTAAAGAAAATTAATGTATTCATCAAAAAATTTTTAAGAGTACTTGTGACATCAAAAAATTATAAAGGATACATAGTTCGTAATAACTCTTTGGACTCAAAAGCGAAGTCCTAAGTTCCCCCAACATTGTAGATGCATGTTTTAATGCATCCATCAACTTGGATTTGTCCAAGCAATGTTTCATCTGGAAGGCTTGTACTTTAACCACTCCGATTGCATCCTCAAGTAATTTCTCTTGCTCTTCCACTCCAGTTATGGCAGGTGTCATTGGCTGCGAGAAAAACAAAGATACCTACCAGGAATTCCAGGTAGTACCATGCTAGGTAAGCTATATAACGCAAGCATGCACTATTTACAATCAGGGAAGGGATTAAGTTCAATACATACTTACATATCAAGTTTAAGTCTACTTAAAAAAGTATTGTCCTTTTTTTCTCTTAAATGACTTGCTACATATTTAAAACTATTGAATCTATTTGAACCTACTTGTAGCATACTTTATCCCATCTTTATGGTTTATATTTACATAGTAGAAAAGGCTGGGAAGAACATTTTGTAGCTATATGTTTACCTATTAATGATCATTTACAAAAAAATTCCATAAACATCAATATAAGCGACACATCTCACGTCACTATACATTTACGATAAACACAGCGCTAGAAATATGGTGTTACACTTTAAAGCAAAAAGTTCTAATTATGTTTGACATAAACTTTTACTGAAATAGAGGTTATAGTTTTAACTGAAATTCATACCTTTAAAGAAATGCAATTAGAGTTGCTTTTTCAATAGTTTTCTTGGTAGAGGATGAAAAGAATATCTCAGTCGGACTTTAAACATTTACCGCTCTTTAATGTATGTATACAAATTTTTACGACATTTAACCTTCATGACATTTAGGTAACTTTCGTAACAACAGTTTCACATATTTTTAATAAAATCTAGTTGGCAATTAATAAACTAACTCAGCAAGCAAAGATTTTACATGCTTCTTTAAATAAAATTTATACTTACCATTTTTTTTTCTAAAAATTTATCACCTGTTTCCCGCAGTTGAAACACCCACCTATGAAAGTGATACACACACCAACACTGACAATCTACACAAATATATCTAAACACACATATAGAAAGAAAACAGATATGTGCATTGTATTGCTGTCACACATAGGAGATAAACTACCTATTCGTATGTACATTTTTATCTTATTTAATAAAGTATCGTTTTTACACAATTTATAAATATTTTTTGCAGAATAAGCTCTTAAATTACAATAAAGGTATTAATTCATACATTCTTAGGAGATTTTTATTTCATAATATGTTTTATTTATAATAAAGAAAATTTGAGGGTTTTTATTTACAAACATAAAATTTGTATTATTGTACATATACAATAAAATTATGTTTTAGAGTAATCGTCATATATGAGATCATCCAAAGAGTGTGTACTCGTAGTAACCGGCTCCTATTGAATAAATAAGTTGTTTTATGAATCAGAACTTTTAACATGGACTGATCATAAACTGTAAAATATCAATTAACCTTCAATGATTTCATATATACATCCAATTCATCCTCAGACTCAACTCCATTTGTATTTTCTATTGGACCTACAGTTTCGGGAGATTCTGAATCAAAATACTTCTCTTCTTCATCTTGTGTTCTTAGATCTATATTATCATATGCCTCATTTTCATCCACAGCACTGAAATAAGAGAACATATAGTTAGAATGTTCTTAGAAATGAACACAGCAAAAAGCTGAGGAAAAGATTTTACAAATACCTGTAATCAAAATCGGAATCTTTTCCTTCCAAAAAGCTCAGATACATATTACTCACAAATTCTTGCTTTAGTATTTGTTTCTCTGTTTTTGATATACTACACAAGCTTGTATTTGATGACTTTGCTTCTGTCTGATGTTTTATCGAATCTTCTATGGTAGGTATTGTACCCCATCCTAAAGTTTTTAATTCATTATTACTGGATTGCTTTGGAACCGGAGTTTCATCTTCTTCTTCATCTGATTCAGTTTCTTCTATTGCATTTTGTTCTTCTTCCTCTTGTAATTTTTGTTTCTTTTTTAATGCATCTCTTTCAATATTCTCCATTAAAAGATTTACGAAAGTAATATTCTTGGTATCAATATTGTCCCTCTTTTTTTTTTGCTTTTCAGTCATATATCGACCAACCAAATGTTCATATAACAGTGGATTTCGTTTCATCATCTCAGATTCGCTAAAGTATTCTCCCTGGTTTATTAAACTTTTCAAAGCTTGATACCTTCTGTTTCTTACATCTGTATGTCTTGTTGAATTATTGAAATATCTTTGTAATCTTTTAATATGATAAGCAACCTCATAGTCTTCGTCTTTACTTCTTTCGAAGTACTTTAAATGTTCTTTTTTCATGTAATGTCCAAATTTACACAAAAATAAACAATAACTTTTTTTCAATAAATTACGTGCAATAGTCAACTTTTCTTCAAAATTTAAATCTGGATCATCCTTTTGTTGGCTCTTAAAAATAGCTTTACTGTTAGCTACATGATTTAATAGCTCTTTTTCTAAATCTGTACTTTTATTTTCTTCATTCTGGAAATTCTCTTCTAACTTTTTATTATCTTTTTCATACAATGGTATCTCTGGAACGTAATCTTGCGTCGCCTTAGTCATTTCTAACCAAAATAATAAAATAATTTACATACATATAAAGTTGCAATATAGTCAATAGTTGTTATTGATGTTCTAATTATCTTTTCTTATCGTATATCGATAGTTTAGTTTATATTAAAAAGACCACTTTACTTGATCATTATTGTTTTCTTTACGTGACATGTATCATACCGATTACTACATACTATCAGATGCGTCATCTACAGTGACTGTCACTTGTCACTAGAAAACTAGAAACCTAACGCTTTGCATTGATTGGCTAACAATTTATTTTTGAACAGTGCCAGTGCCGCACTCGCAGTCAAAGCAAAGTTACTACATACGATGATGACGTCAACGTATGACGTCATGCAGCTTATCTCACACTTTCGTCTTGCGGTCTCACTCTTTTCGTACATCTGAAGTACGCGGAACGAAATTCAATTTGTAAAAGAGCTTCGAATAATGAAACTTGTTGCCTCGTACGATTCTTGTCCTCATTGTTCAGCGTACGTTCATTGAATATCATTCGCAAATTCATCGAATGATATAATCGAGGATCCTACAAGGCGAAAGATTTTATTATTTGAAGCTCTTTTACAAATATAATTTTATCGCCGCGTGTCTCAGATGTAGCGCCAGTCGAACGGATGCGTGGAAAAAGTGACACCACGAATACAGTAGAATGAACCAGTTAGGTTTCTTATTTGTATGGGCACTCATACATAAAGACCGATTAGTTCGTTCTCTTTCTTTCTTTCTCTTACGTTGGGATTTGGGATATGCGCGCTGCGCAGCAGCTTGCCATTAGGGAGGAAAACAAATGTAAACGTTGAGTTGAGGTTGCCACTATGTGTCACTATAGATTGCTGTAGATGTATTGCGCGAAATGTGTACCAAATTACATATATTGAATTATGTACACACAGTAGGATATACACATAATATAACCGGTGAGTTAAGGTTCTGCAATAGTTTTTGGAACTATATAATGTACATAAAATGTTTTAGATAGAATTATTTACGTTTATTTAAATTGTTATCTAAATCAGAATGATAATCAAAATGATAAAGTTTTTAGTGTAATTATTATTATTTCTATTATCAAAGTAAATGTACAAAACATTCTACATTCTTAAAGTATAAAATGAACTACATTTTAAAAATCCTTTTCCATTTATAAAAGTGTTGCTCAGTCCTATTTCCAGCTTGTATCTTTTGTAGTTTAAGATATGGACAATAATTGGTTATCTGATGATATGGAAGAGTCATGGAAATGGAATTGGACAGAATTATGTGGTTATAATGGAGGCATTAAGCCACTGAATCCAGAAACACATGATATCGATGTATGCTTCCAACAATTATTCCTTCAGGTGATTTAACATTAGCAATTCAATATACAATGCAAACATATCACAGATTTTGGTAACTTTATATTTATTCAATATTTTTCTTATAACTTTCAGATCCCAGTTTTAGTCTGTATTGCAATGGTATCTGCGTATCATTGTGGAAAAAGACATTCATATCCTAATGGTCATCATGGTACTAATGCTATCATTAACTTGAGAATTTTGATTGTATTGTGCCTTATGGTTCTTCCTATAATTAGAGCATACATTATTCTTACTAATACAACCCTTTCTCCATTAAACCATGTTTCATCTGATAATAATTTAATGCAGCAAGAATCAGCCATGATATCAAATAATAGTTCAGATTCAGTTTTAAATTCACCAAGTATAATAGATCACATAAAAGATGAACTAAATTACACTATTGATTATACAAAATCGATACTTTTTCCAAAGAGTAATATCCAAAAGGCAACAGAACCTACTGTCACCTTTATTACGCAAGATTACAATCCAGTGTTAGATGCAGTTAATGATAGTGCAACATCTGCCAAACCTATTGATTATCTAGTGGCAGGTACTGAAGGATTAGCATGGGTTGTTCATCTTTGTTTTGTATTAAGTTTGAGAAGTGGCAGAAATTTTAATCTACGTGGGCCTGTATCTATTCGAGCATTGGTATTTCTGCTAATTGTTGTCTCTATACTACTATTAAGGAGTCATGTCAAATATAATTCACGAAATGATGTTTTACCAAATTTGTCATTGGGATTTAGTATTAGTGTAGTCACTCTACTAATACTCTATGCAATAACACTGATACCAGATCATAGTTTACAAGATGCAAGATCATCCCGATTTAACGAAGTAAGTCATCATACAAGTTGTTTGTTTACAATAGACTGGTCCATAGTATTATCAGTGAATAGTGTTCTACATGCTTATCAGTTAAGAGATTTCAAATATATGTTGTAGAATACGTGTGTTGTTACCAAATTGGCTATGATATCTAAAATTATGAGCTATTAAGTAAATACAGATATTATAGATCAGTGAAAAATATGTTTATAGATAGGAGAACAGACTGCACTGTTGAATACTCCTAATTCTTCTTACGTAAGATTCCCAGAGGAACAGGATTCAACTTATCTTGGAACTGCTATGGAGAATGTAACAATAACTTCTAAAATTTTATTTCACTGGGTAAACCCCTTAATGGAAAAGGGTGTCCGTGGCTTGCTGAACCATTCAGATGATTTATTTGATTTACCAGAATATATCAGCACTAATGTGATCAGTCAGAAACTTGATTATCATTTGCAAAATATGGTAAATTTAATATTTCTCTATTTGCAATGTCTTATTTACATTCGTAATTGTTTTGCACTAACATAAATGTTTTTAACGATATATTATAGCCCTGCAATGTAAATAACAGGATGGAAAATGATGAATTAATGATGGAGACAGATGTACAAACTGTTACAAAGAAAATAACTTTGTTACATTTATTACATAAGTGTTTTGGATGGGAATTTTATTCGGTTGGAATATTAAAATTTATCAGTGACTGTAGTTTATTTGTGGGTCCAATATTATTAAACAAATTAATTGGTTTTATTGAAGACAAAAATGAATCTGTCTCATATGGATATCTATATGCAACATTAATATTTGTTAGTGCTTTAATAGGTAGGCATTAATTTATGTTCAATATCCTTTATAGATAATGCTTATAAGAAAGTTTTAAGCACATTGTAATAAAATTTACAGCCCATTATATGAGAGTGGCAAATATTACACTAATATTATTATTTTAGGAGCTTTTTGCAATGCTCATTTTACATTTTGGATGTCTATTGTTGGCTTAAAAATCCGATCAACGATCATTACTTTGGTGTATAGGAAGACTTTACAATCGCCTAGTATCCAGTTAAAGCAACAATTTAATTTTGGTGAAATAATCAATTTTATGAGTACGGATACTGATAGATTAGTTAACAGTTGTCCAAGTTTCCATGCATTTTGGAGCATTCCATTACAGGTAATTTCTTAGTATAATTTTATATGTTTTATTTTTATTTCTACAAATGTAGAACTTCTTAGCATTGATATTTGGTAATTAGTATCTTAGTTTCTGTAGTTGTCAGTAAAAATATTTTTGTTCACATTTTCCAGTTGGTTGTGGCATTATATCTTCTGCATGAGCAAATAGGGATTTCGTTCTTAGCTGGGGTTACTTTTGCAATAGTGCTTATACCAATAAACAAAGTAATAACAAATAAAGTTGGAAAGCTTAGTACGAAGCTAATGGAATACAAGGATCAAAGGGTCAAATATATAGGGGAAGCAATACGTGGAATAACTGCGATTAAATTGAATGTATGGGAAGATCATTTCTTGTGGAATATTAGTAGTTAGTATATTTCAGTATATCTCACTATTCTTAGTTGTTTATCCTCACATATGACTTTTTATTATATTTTTCGCTTAGAATTACGAGAAAAGGAAATCAAATATTTAAGTGAGAGAAAATATTTAGATGCGCTATGTGTTTATTTTTGGGCCACAACACCTGTATTGATTTCTATATTAACATTCACAACGTATGTTCTTCTTGGAAATAAACTTGATGCAAAAACAGTTTTTACTAGTATGGCACTGATGAACATGCTCATAGGTCCATTAAATGCATTTCCCTGGGTGTTGAATGGTCTTACAGAAGCTTGGGTGTCACTTAAAAGAATACAGAGAATGTTAGATGTAAGTAAAAATTGTGATCTGTTGATGAAATTGAAATCAAAGAATTATTTACACTTGAGTTATTTCAATTTTATTAAATTCAGTTACCAGATGCTGATCTGTCATCATACTATTCGGAATGTCCACCTGGAGTAGATTTAATGCTTCAGGATGTAACATTCGGAGTAACTACCAAGCAAAATATGGAAGAAAGTGATTCAAATTTGCCTAGAAATGTTGCAACGCCATCTTCTTCTTCTGATTCTAGGAAAACAGTAACATTTGAAGATAATAATACTTTCAATCTACATGAGATTAATATTATAATTCCGAAGGTAATAAAATACATTTGATTACTTGCAGTTTATGTGCTAAACTGGGTTTTGTTCTAGGGGCATTTAATCGGGATAATGGGAAAAGTGGGCAGTGGTAAGTCACTACTCTTAGATGGTATTTTAAGTGAAATTACCAAAGTTCGTGGTACGATAGCAGTAAGTGATGTCGCACAGGGTTTTGCATTTGTCAAACAAAATCCTTGGCTGCAACATGGTACTATTCGAGATAACATTCTTTTTGGAAAGTCTTATGATTATAATAAATATAAGTAAGTAGTAAAATATACAAATGTATACATGTATACTGTAATACTTAGAAGATGTCTTTCGATAGGGCCATTTTAAAAGCATGTGCTCTTACCACTGACTTAAATTCCCTACCTAAGAAGGACTTAACAGTTATCGGTGATGCCGGAAATACTTTGAGCGGTGGACAAAAGACACGAATTTCCTTGGCACGTGCAATTTATGCAAACAAAGACATCTATTTGTTGGATGATGTTTTAGCGACTTTAGATCCGAAAGTTGCTAACTACATATTCGAACATGTTATTATAGGTTTACTGAAGAACAAAACAAGATTACTGTGTACTCATCAGACTCAATATTTAATTCATGCAGATGTAGTAGTCGATATGGCTAAAGGCAGGATAGTTAATCAAGGTAAACCTAGCGAGGTTTTGCCAGACATAGATGACTATTTATTATCTTCAGACTCTTATGAGCCAGATTTAGACGTTACCTCTGTTAATGATTTACCAAGAGAGACGAATCAGTTGGATAGAAATGGTAAAGAATGTTTGCCCGATGAAGAATTTACAGAGAAGGGAACTGTACGGTTTGGAGTATATTCATGCTATATTAAGGCTATGAGTGGCTACTTGGCAATTTTGATATTTATCTCCATATTTTTGATGCAAAGTTCTAAAAATGTAACAGACTTGTGGCTGTCTTATTGGGTGACTCATATTAATACATCAGCGAGTAATACTACAGAGACGCCAAATCTTTTACAATTTGAATATTTCTTTGACGATCATGATATGAGCACAAAGTACTATTTAATAGTTTATGCTATATTAGCTGTATTGAATTCGCTATTTACCTTGATGAGAGCATTTATGTTTGCGTATGGAGGGATTCGAGCAGCCATTGCAATACACAAACAGCTTTTAAAAATTGTTGTTCGGGTATGGAATTATAGCAAAAGCTAACCGGTATTTCATATTATATGCTAATATGGAATATACTTTCAGGCTAAAGCTGTATTTTTCGATATTCAACCACTTGGTAGGATTATCAACCGATTTTCATCTGATACATACACAATTGACGATAGCCTACCTTTTATTATTAATATCTTACTCGCACAATTATTTGGTTTATTGGCAACAATAGTTGTTGCCACTTATGGCTTACCATGGATACTGTTCATGATAATTCCACTCGTCCCAGTATATCATTGGATTCAAAATCATTATAGGTATATTGATTTTTCTTATTTGTACTTTGAACTTAAAAGAATATCGTTCGATTAATAATTTTTAGATTAACATCAAGAGAATTGAAGCGTTTATCAAGTGCAGCTCTTTCACCTTTGTATGCCCACTTCAATGAAACTTTAAACGGACTCTCCACTATAAGAGCTTTGCGCACTGTGCCACGTTTCAGCCAAGAAAACGAACTGTTACTGGAAGTCAGTCAAAAAACGAATTTTGCGTCGATTGCAGCCAGCCAATGGCTTGGGTTAAGACTACAACTTATGGCAGTGGTTCTCTTAGCTGGAGTGAGCAATATTGCGGTTCTACAGCATCAGTATGACATTGCAGACCCTGGTTTGATAGGTCTTGTTATTACTTACATTTTGTCCATAACTGGGTTGTTAACTGGCGTGGTCAATGCATTTACTGAGACGGAGAGGGAGATGATCGCAGTGGAACGCGTGAAACAATATTTGGAGAAAATCTCCACAGAAACTATCAATGGCGATAGTCCACCGTATGCTTGGCCAAGTCAGGGCGTAGTTGAATTTAGAGAAGTTGTATTGAAATATAGGTAATATAGGTCATTAATTCAAGTCGGTTATTCAGATAAGTGATGTACATGCATGTAAACTGTAGGTATATCTTGCAGAGAGCATTTGACGCCATCGTTGAACGGTATATCGTTCGTTACTCGACCAGCAGAGAAAATAGGAGTTGTCGGCCGGACGGGTGCTGGAAAAAGTTCATTATTTGCTTCCTTATTTAGATTAACGGAAATCACGTCCGGAACTATATTGATAGATAGTATTAATATACAGACATTGCAATTAAATGCATTAAGGTATTCTTTTATATTAACTAGGCAATGATTTAGAGTGATAATCAAATCACATGTAACAGAGGACAATAGTAACCAGTTCTCCGCGTTTATAGTTTATAAACTCGAATATAATGCATCTGCAATTGTTTCAGATCACGTTTGGCTATTATACCTCAGGATCCATTTATTTTCTCGGGTACAATAAGAGAGAATCTAGATCCTTTAAATCAGTATCCAGATCTGCACATATACAAGGCATTAGAGAAATGTAAAATTCACTCGCTAGTGTACCGTTTAGGAGGTCTCGGCGCTACTTTGGAAGAATGCGGCAGCAATTTAAGCGCAGGGCAGAGGCAATTGTTTTGTTTGGTCAGAGCAGTTTTGCATAATGCCAAGGTATTGTTATTAATTTTTTTTTTCACAGATGTATCACCTTGACATATAAATGTTCTCATTTCTGTTAATTACTTTGTATAATATCGACTTCTCTATCACCTTCTGCAGATTGTCTGTATCGACGAAGCTACGGCGAACGTTGACCAAGAAACGGACAAGTTTCTTCAAGGGACAATAAAGTCTTTCTTCCAGAGTGCCACGGTGATTACTGTGGCGCACAGGATAAGAACAATTATGCACTGTGATAGGTACGGTAGTTGTACAAACAACTGTCGCAATGGTCCTTATTTGAAATGCTCGTTTCAGGGTACTCGTGATGGCAGAAGGGGAGGTATTAGAGTTTGACGAACCAAATCTGTTGATTCAAAACATCGACTCCCATTTTTATCGTTTAGCCAGTCAAGAGTTTTCCAATGAAGAATGAACGTTTCCCCGTAGCGTAGGTTTGCATAAGCATATTTATTTTTGTCTTCGCGGCGAACTTTGCCATGTATTCAGAGAATGTGCTAGAATACTAAGATTATCGTCTGCAAGAATACAACGCGATTTAAACGTCATAGTCGAATGGATTGTATTATAATCTATAACGTACAATTATTTTTGTACAATTTTTCAAGGACTGTAATTAAATAATTTATAAAGAAGCGATTAGTGCTACGATTGTGCAATCATTCTTTTTTTGTTTGTGATAAGACTAATTGTTTCGTTATCTTTCTTCTTTTGTTTTTTCTTTATACTCGTATTGTATTGCAAAAATTAAACTACCTCGCTGTAAGTTTTTATATCGCTGGCAATACATTTGAAAACTCATCGAGATCGAGGTATCCTTTTTTACGACGATCCAATTCCTTGAATACCATTTCCCAAACTGATGGTAAAACGTTTAGATCGACAGACGAGCTTGCCAAGTAGAAATCATCCATTACTAAATATCCTTTATCTAGAAAAACAATTTTCACCTAATTATGTATCTCTGTTAATTTCTCGGCCGAATGAGTCGTACAATTTTTATCCAGCAGAGCGAATAACATTTCCGAATTGACACGTGTATGATTTGCAGAACTCTTCTCAAGCACCCGGCGCTCGAATTCGTTGTAGGAAATTCTATCCCTGATTCGAAAAATACGTCCAACTTCTATCTAAAACCAAGGAAGTAGGAAAAGTACATCAACGATGAGTCCATTGGATAAATACGAGGTGTGTCCGGAAAGTATCCAACAATTTTACGAGTTCCTCCGACAAATAGCATGGAACAGACCCCTCCTGACATTTAATCATCGTTTGATGCTTCGTGTGTTCTGTAAGTTTAAATTATTAAGCGTCGCGTTTCGCAACGAGCAATATTTTCGAAAACAATATGAAATGCGTTGGGGCAGCCGTTGACTATTCCGGAAGCTTACATCGAGGAGCGCTTCTTGAAGTGGGAGAGTCGTGTTAAGAAAATTGTCTGTTTTCGTAGGTGGTACTCTCCTTCCCAGTGAACGGTTGGATACTTTGCGGAGGCATTTCGTATGAATACTGTGGTTCGAAGATTTCACTTTGTCCGGGCAATATCCGAAAGCAGCGGTCATGGCGATTTTGTATTGCCGTTTAGTCAGCGATCCGACGGACTCCGCATCAGCATAATCGAAAGCCTGCGGGGTTCGTGATCCGTACAGTCGTTTCTCTCGCGACCCGTTCTTTTCCTACGTCGTGTCTTACCTTCCTAGCGCGTTCCTTGTAGACGCTCGACGTCATATCTTCCTTCAGGGCGTGAATTCAGCTGGAACGAAACTTCCTTGAGCGACTACCATATTAAGCGATTCGATGAAAGCGAGGTGTTGCTCGTCGCGAGTCGCGCGTGCATCGGGCTTTCAGCGGGGGAACTCGACCGACACGCATTATATCGTAATTAAAGCGGGAACCCCCTTTCAAACAGCCTGGTATTTTGTAATATTCATCGCGGAGCCAATTAACGCCGCCGCGGGACACGCACACGCGTGCCTTTTCGCGGCTGTGTGCGTGTGCACGCGATGACATAACGTCTGCTGTATCCGGCATTCAACCGTGGCATTTCTCGCCGGCTCTCTGTCATCGTTCTCCGCCGCTGAAAACTAATGAGCTGAAACCCCGGCTGCTGATTTTGCGTTCCGTTTTTTTAATTACCCGCCATTTAAACCGCCCTCACCACCCCCGCCGTTCAAGCCTTCCCTTTTTCTTTTCCTTCCCGCGCGCCGGAGGAGAAGCGATATTATTTCTCGCGCGCGTATCCTTCCGGCGATAGAACCGCGACCGACGACGTTTCATATCGCTAATGATGTTCGTCTTGCGCGATCCATTATCCCGACAATTCGACGAGACCTTCGAGAGCGCGTGCTCTGTCTGTCCGGAATCGGTTCGAGACCGGATATTCGCACCTGTGCGGCCGTCCAGACCAGTTTCGTATCGATCCCCTTGGCTTCGGAATCCCATTGGTTTAGTACCGCCTAGCTAGCGACGAAGAACCGTGCATACGCGTCCTAGGGAAACTAGACATCGGATTTGCGATTTTTACAGAAATTGTCCGTGGCGCCACGATGAATTTTCTTTTATGCGATACATATAATGTTGAAATATTATCTGCAATAGACAAGTTACAGTGTATAACCATGTTTGACATGTTAATTGCGACGGGGGTCACTGTTTGAATCGACGATGGTAATAATACAAAATTTTAGATATTGACATTTCTTTGAAATTATATATATTTCTATCAATTTGGGCGCGCCGGTCACCGGTGGCCCCAATGGCGTCACCGCCAAGTTAAGTGCCGGTCACCGGTGACCCCCGTGGCATTCAACGTGTTAAATTGTCGTCCGCTCAACAGCACAGCGTCGGACCAACGTTGTCCAGTTGCCACCGCGTCGATGCTCCTTGCTATTAAATTGCCCATAAAATGTAACACATGATGTCAGAGTTTGTTATTGAAAAATTTACTTACTCAACCGACTGCGACAGGGATGAAAATAATTTTCCTCGATTTCATCAATATATTTCTCGCGCGTCTTTAGTAAATTATAGAATTCGATAAATCGCAAGCAAACTGGTTGCCTCGCTACCATTGTACGAACAGCGTGCAATTGTTTGAACATGTAATTCTTTTCTTTAAACGTCCGCTTCCCCCGGGGGTTGAAGAGGAGCATCGAAGCTGCGCTTTTATCGATAAGTGTGTGCACGTGCGCCTCTTTCTGTTATTTACACCGGTTGGTTTCCTCGCCACCGTGACGGTTCTTTCGAGACATCTTCCTCTGTCACGGTTCCATGTATAAATTAAGTAATTTTCGTAATGCCCCTTCTCGTCGCGATTCTCGGGACGACGCNGATACATATAATGTTGAAATATTATCTGCAATAGACAAGTTACAGTGTATAACCATGTTTGACATGTTAATTGCGACGGGGGTCACTGTTTGAATCGACGATGGTAATAATACAAAATTTTAGATATTGACATTTCTTTGAAATTATATATATTTCTATCAATTTGGGCGCGCCGGTCACCGGTGGCCCCAATGGCGTCACCGCCAAGTTAAGTGCCGGTCACCGGTGACCCCCGTGGCATTCAACGTGTTAAATTGTCGTCCGCTCAACAGCACAGCGTCGGACCAACGTTGTCCAGTTGCCACCGCGTCGATGCTCCTTGCTATTAAATTGCCCATAAAATGTAACACATGATGTCAGAGTTTGTTATTGAAAAATTTACTTACTCAACCGACTGCGACAGGGATGAAAATAATTTTCCTCGATTTCATCAATATATTTCTCGCGCGTCTTTAGTAAATTATAGAATTCGATAAATCGCAAGCAAACTGGTTGCCTCGCTACCATTGTACGAACAGCGTGCAATTGTTTGAACATGTAATTCTTTTCTTTAAACGTCCGCTTCCCCCGGGGGTTGAAGAGGAGCATCGAAGCTGCGCTTTTATCGATAAGTGTGTGCACGTGCGCCTCTTTCTGTTATTTACACCGGTTGGTTTCCTCGCCACCGTGACGGTTCTTTCGAGACATCTTCCTCTGTCACGGTTCCATGTATAAATTAAGTAATTTTCGTAATGCCCCTTCTCGTCGCGATTCTCGGGACGACGCGGGGGCAGACCAGATGGGAATCTAGCGACGGCACGGCGCGGCTCCCGCTTTCTTTTTTTCTTTGTGGAAGCGGCGAGAAGCCGCCTTTGAAACATGTGCGCTTCCGGCGTAAAGCACGAGGCAATCTCGGTCGAATAGCATGACTTACTGGCGGACCTTATGTCATCGGCCGATACTCTACGATAGCCCGTGTAACCGGCCGCTAAGAAAGCGTTCGAGTCCTACCGCGAAGAATAAGTTTGCCCCGGTAGTTTGCGACAGCGGACGTTTGGGTCGTACCTGATGCGTACCGCACAATGGTAGAAAAATGAGCCAATGACCGTTTGCGTCGTAATGGCCGGTGCGTTGGACGTGTCCTAACTCCCTCCGGTACGAAACGGGACGCGACATTATTGCCCGGCATTCCTGTTTTATTAGGTTGCCGTGTATGAAAAATACACGCGTCGTTACTCAGCTAAGGCTGGGATTTTTTCTTCTTCAAATATCAGCATTCCCGATTGCTTCTTGTTCAGATTTTATAGAGGCATCGAAGAGAGGCCACGAATGTGTTAATCTTCAACGTTACGGAGATCAAAGATTTTTTTAAACCAGTGAGAGTGGACTTGTAGAACGGAGAAACACGTTCGTTTCATATAAATGATATTCGTTCTTATCGAATTGGTAGTTGGAAATTAAATTTAACCTTGCAGTATTAGAGTCTATTTAAATAGTGTAATAATTCTAATAAGTTTGAAACCTCATTTTTATTTGATAAAATTACAAGCAAGGAACGATATATATTAACACTTTGCACGTCGAACACCAATATCGTGATTCTTTCTTAATCTTATTTTTATAACAATGTAAACACCTTCGCGCGTGCAGGATTCGCCTGAAAATATTCTAAACCTCTTGAGATTTGAGAATATGTTTTTGTTTTTTCACTAAAATTACAATTTAAATAGCCAGTGGTCACTATTTTTTACGCACCACGAGTATACTCGTCATAACGCAAAATACTGCCACTTCTCCATGACGAGTATACTCGTCGAACACAGCCAACTGGTTAATAATTTCCTATAGAAGAGTTTTCATGATTTCAACAATTTTAAGAGAAAATAAAAACAACGCGAATCTCGTCATTCTAGCCACGATAGGTTTACTGTTGGCCATGCTATTATTAGCCCAGCGTTTTTCGGTGGCGATAAACTGTTCGGGGACGCGGGGGCGTAATAAACGTCGCCAGGATCGAACCTAAATAGTGTAAAGAGGAGGCAGGCCGAGCTGTACGACGATCGGTCGATAAAACTATCTGAAAATACGGCTCGAGCGTAATCGTGCGCCGCCAACGAGCGGAATTCCTCGAGCGTCGGGGTCGCGGCTCGCGCAGAAATATTTTCTTAAAAAAAGCGGTATTAAACGCGCGCCGTGGAATATTTCAAACTTCATCTTGGATGTAGCTCGTCTCGTGACATAGGCGGTACGCAGCAGCCCTTCGCTCTTGCGCGTCTCGGTGGGCACTCGAGGCTTGAAGCACAGTCACTACCGTAGGGGGCTTGCCGGCTACCCCAAAAGTGCACCTATCAAGGGTTGGTTCAACGAGCATACAGCTCTAGAGACCCTTGCTATCGCGGAGGCTGCGCGCCGCTCTTTCAAAACTAGCTCCGGTTTATTATTGAACTCGGACGCGATTTTATTGGGATCCGGCTCTGCGAATTAAATCGACTGCCACCGGAAAATATACAGCTCCGGGCATTAACGCGAGATTTATTCGCCGCGACTTCGCCGTCGTCTTTCGTTCGAACGCGCCGCTAAAGCGTTCCGCGTCTACGCGTCTCATCGAGTTCAATTAAAAAATATTGAATTTAGAGAAGCACGCGGCGAAGCTTGTACATTCAAGATGTAAATTCATGTCAGACTCTCTCTCGCAGCGATTCTGCTCTGTCCCTGCGTTGCCACGCACCCCACACCGCGCGCGCGCGCGCGCTCTCTCTCTCTTTTTCTCTCTCTCTCTCTCTTTCTCTTTCTTTCTCTCTGTCTGTGTCGGTGAAGGGTGTCTAGGCCTTCGTTCACCCTTGAAGTTACGCAGAAAATATGCCAATGTTGTTTGAAAGAGGGGTTCCGGGGTGGATAAAGGAGACAGGCGGCAGCGCATGATTGCCAGCGCGAACACCATGATGAAAAAAAACGTTAACTAGCGATCGCGCACGCCTCTGGAGAGATACGTGATCGCGATAGCACGCGGGCGGAATTGTTCCGGCGTCGGGCGACAAGGACCGTCAACCGAGCGGGCTGATTACACGCCCGCGGACCATATATTTGCATTAGGCCACGGAGTCGCCATAACTCATTACCGTCCACAATTCTCTTTCGTCAGCCGGACGAACGTGTCGGCTGCATAAATCACAATTTGCCCTAGTGCGCGCAGGTGGACAAGACCGGCCGTCTCGGTCGGTGTGTGCGTGTCCTGAAAACAGGGGGTCGGCGCGGAATCGCGATGATAGACCGAGTCGTATTTAATTGACTCTGACGTCGCCGCGCGGCCGATCACGGCTAATCGCGGGGCCAAGATAACGATCGACGTTTTTATCCTCGAGACGTCCTCTTCGGAGCGTCGTCGAAGCCGACGCGGCCCTCGGATCGCGCGGCCGCCTGCGAAACTGGATCTCGTTTCGCGAGATCGAGCGATCGACGGGCAGCGTCGCGGCCGACGAGTGGTTCGTCCAGTTTTAGCCGGGCCTCGATCACACCCCCGCGTTCCGTTTTCGTGATCGTATTTTCGAACGCGGACGGAGGAGAGGGCGAGCGGCGCGCGGTCGCCGAGGAGACGAGAC